GGTCAGCGGTGGGAGAAAAGATAGAAGAAGAAAGAAAGAAGGAAGGAAGGAGAAGAGGAAGATACACCAAAGTGAGTGTCGCACACGGATCCCAGAGGGTTGGGGTCCGTGTGCGACACTCCGTCTTTGAGGGGGTTGCACCTTCTGCAGACGAAGCAGTGGGTCTATTTATGTCCCCCCGACCCACTGGGGGTAAAATTGAATAATAGGAGGGTGAAAAAAGCGTATGGTTGAAATGATGAATGGATGGATAGATGGATGGATGAACGGAAGGTGACTTGGCAAAGGGATACATAGAGTGAAGATAGATGAACGAATAGTCAAAAGAGAGAAAAACAGGAGAAATCATGAAAATAAGTATGGGTGGCTGACAGGTGCTCTGGCGTTGTTTGCTCCTTCTTTACTGTCAAACATCTATCGCCTTTATCTCTCCTCCTTCTTTTTGCGTTTTTTCTTCGGCACTTCTAATATGATCTAATTATGCTGCAAGCGCCGTAAAACGCTTTCTAAAACCAAAAAAATCTGAACTCACTCTCCACGCATGTGTCCAGCCTGGGGTTAAAGTACCAGCCGTCTTCACAGTTGCACACTTTGGTGTCGTCATCGCACTCAAGGTTACCCACACACCTGTCCTTGCATGGCTCTTGGTAGCCCGGATCTGTGGACAGAATAATAATAATAATAAAGATAACAATAACAACAACAACAACAACAACACCAACAACAACAATAACAATAATACTAGTAATAATAATACTAGTACTAGTACTATTACTACTACTACTACTACTACTACTACTACTACTACTACTACTACTACTACTACTACTACTACTACTACTACTACTACTTATAATAATAATAATAATAATTGTCTCTCTCTTTCACCGATTGTCTGTGTCTGCTCGTTCGAGTTGTACCGTCAAAACCAGACGCTAACCTTGCCTTGTATAATATGCGTGAACAGTTAATCTACAGAGAATTATGGAACATTACATAACAATGTATCAACATGCAATGTTAAAATTTAGAGTAGAGTGTTGTTTTTAGTGATTAGTATCACAAACTGCAATTACGGCTGTAATTTGGGACAAAATAGTGATTTTATCTAATTTGGCAGATATGTTATTGTTGATTAAGAGTATGTCACCGGAACACAGAATGAGAGTTTGTGAGTATCTCAATTTTTTGTTTTGTTTGTTCAATGGTTCACCTATTTGCATAGTGGCATCGGTAGTTTTGTCGACTCACAATTGTGAGATTGCAGATTCGGGGAGGGGGGG